AAGAGAGAGATTTAGCAATTTCAGAAAGAACAATTTTCTTTAAAAATTCATTTCTGGGCTTAGTGACCTCGGAATTCGATTCCGAGCATACGCCCAAGTCCCATATTTTCCTACGGACCCTCCGGGACCGTCAAATCACGGATCCGGGTCCGTTTACGACCAAAACTTTGACGCGAAGTCAAATTAATTATTTTATAGTAAAATTTATCATTTTCACAAATTTTCAAAATAGGCTTTCCGGCTACGCGCCGGACTGCGGCACGCAAAATCGAGGTGATGCTAAAAGAGGTTTTTAAGGCCTGCGAAACACAGAATTCGGATTTAAAAATAAGTAATCTTAAAAGCAAACCGTTGCGTCTCGAACGGACAGGAAGAAAGATAGTACCTGAGTTCGGGAAAGGTGGGGAATAACGCTCTGCATATCGGACTCGGACTCGCCAGGTCGATGCGCTTCAGGAGTACTGACCTGCTTCCACTAAACGCGAACGGAAGGTAACATACTTCGATTCTAACTGACGAACCTGCCGGTGCTAGATGGAATACCGGCTTCTCCTCATAAGACAAGTCCTTTCCAACTGGACAGTTGCTGAAATCTAAACGTGGGATGGAGCGCCGGGTGATATTTCCGAAGCATGGACACATGAAACACTGGATGCAGCGAACTGGGATAAGTCTCGGCGACAATGCGAAGTCTATTAAGCCACCTCTCCCAGCAACGATTAAGAATCTCAAAACGGACCCAAATGAACCTAGGGCTTAAGCTTGACCTTCTCTTCCCAAACTCATCCACGCCCTTCAGTTAGGCCGACACTCGAAGCCAATACCCCGCTCACCGGACCCGTGTGCCAACTCTTGCTGAAATTGCCTCTCCAGAAATGTGAGGTAACTGGCGTACCTTCAATCCGAAATGATAGACCACGGGCAACCATGACAACGAACAATCTCCCGATTATAGATCTCAGCTTAACCTCTCGGAAGAATAGGAGACGTGCCAACAGGAAATGAAATGCGCTGGACTTGGTCAGCTACAACAATGAAACCCACACTGCATCGGACTTCTTCTGAGTCTGTGGGGAGTCCAAACAAGCAAAATCCATTAGTGATACGTCCACTTCCAGTGCAGGAATCCTCACTTCTGGAACAAACCACCATGGGCCCCTGATGCTCGTACTTAACCGCCTGCAATTCAAACACCAGCCACATATGCAACTATATCCCTTCTTCGCATTCCCCGCCACCAATAATGCTGCCGCAAGTCCTTGAAAACATCTTCGGCGGCGCCCGGGAATGAATAGCAGTACCGGGAGGCTATGGGTCTTGCCTCTAAAATCAACTCTTCAAAGACCATAAACGTTTAGCAACAAAAACCGACGCCTACAGTCTCAAAACTCCATCAACATCTAGGGTAACCTGCTTTTGGCAGGCCTCCAGTGCTGCACCGTGTCTCTAAGGACACACAAAATGGGGATCATGCGTACTCGCTGATCTCGGTACGCTTGCAATAAGAAGAAACGAGCGAACTGTGTCAAGCTAACTACATGGTGGCTCAGAAACATGCCAACCATAACAACTGATTGAGCGCAAAAGCCTGGAATCTAAAGCAAAGCGGTCCTCTCACCGATCGAATATAAGCAAGAGCTGCCCCGTAACTGGCTGACTTCCTACTGCAAAGCATCGGCCACACATTGGCGTTCCCCGGATGATATAAGATGGGTGATATCATAATCCTTCAACAACTCCAACCACCTCCTCTTGGCCTCAAATTCAACTCTCTT